AAAATTTTCATGAAGGGGGTTTCAATGCAAACGAAAATAGTAAGAAGGTCTAAGTTGTGAATAAACAAGTTTGGGGGTAATCATGTGCCAAATTGGTTGAGAATGAAGAATAAAAAAATTGATTATTTTTTTATTCTTGTCTTAGAATAAGTTGTGATCAATTTTCTTTTTTGTTATTCTTATTCAATAATATACTCCGGGGTGAGTGTGGGGCGGACCATTTCAAAAATGACTCTTCCATTGATTAGATAGATAAGATCGCCAAGATTTCATGATTTGCAGCTGAACCTATTCTAACAATATGAGCATAATAATCAAAGGAGGTTTTATACAAATTTCCCTAAAAAAAAAATTATTCAAATACCCATGAGAGATGTACTATTTCGATATCTACCCATATTTTTTTATTTAATTTCAAAATACTCATTAAAAGATACATAATCATGATTTGGAATAGTTGCAAATAGATAAAATTTTAAATAATTCAATTTTCATTAGTATTTTGATAAATTTTTTAAAAAAATTACTCGTAAGTTTGAAATTTGGTCAATGAAATAAATGTGATCACCCATTTCCCATCCGACTGTCAAGATTAATTGTGACCACTTTATACCAAAGATAAATGATCTCATAATATACTTAACCTAAATAAAATACCTGCCAATTTAGAAGTATGAGTTGTATTGGGCTGTCTTTTCTAAGGATTTACCTCTAAATTTTAATGAGAGAGTTGGATTTTTTTAGAGAGAGTACGGCAACAAAAATCAAGGGTAATAGTGAGGATTATTGATACCCTTAATTTGTACTTTTTAGGTATTTGTCTCTTTATTTTGGATACCACATTATTGAAATTGTATAATTACTTTATTATTATTATTATTATTATTATTATTATTATTATTATTATTATTATTTGCACCCACTCTTACTTAATAAGTGGGGTTTTTTACGAAAAACCCCCTTTCTTTAGAACCTATGTTTCCATAATGGGACTTCCAAAATGTGTCGGTCTGCCACATAAATGTATTTGAACCAGTGTTTAAAAAAACGTCGAGTCGAACCGGATTTGTCCGGTTCGACTCGAGAATTGCCATGGACGGATCGAATCGGCGAAAAAAACAGGATTCGTGCGGTTCTAGAGAGAACCGGACGATTCTGCACAGTGACTCGCCGATTCACTGTACGGAATCGGCGAGTCACGTATGGATTTTTTTTTTTTTTTTGTAATCCATGATAGATTTTTTTGTAATACTTGATT